TTATTATTATTATTATTATTATTATATCATCATTATTATATTATTATTATTATTATTATTATTATTATTATCATTATTATTATGTATGTATAGCCGTATAGGAAAACGAAGTTATGAAATAAATCAATTAATCTATCCAAATAACTGTATAAATGTATAATAAAAATGTATTTTATTCCATAGGCTTCCCTTTATTTTCAATGTTTAAATTTAGCGCCAAAGACAATTCTCACATTTCCGACCAGATGGCCAATGGCGATCAAGTAATCACGCGAAGAGATTGTGTATGCGACTCGCGACCATCTCGCGACTGCCGTTAGTGACGTTAGTGCCGTTCAGCGGCCCGGTCTGTGGTTCAGCGTCAAGCTTGCATCGTGCATGGTGCGTTCCCGTTCATGAATGGGTGTTGTTTGTGAACGGCGTCTGTGCCATTGGATTTGTTAAGAATGTTAAAATGTTGAGTGTTTGAGTGGTATTTCTATACAGTCTGTTCTTCACGTGAAAGTATTCAGGATGTATTGTGTAATACAATTTGATGACAGTGGAAGCAACAGCGTAGCTGTTGTTCACGAAATTTGGCTGACGCCGTTGAAAAAGGATGTGTTTTGGCCGCCATTTAAAGACAGCAAAACATACAAAAGAGCTCTCTGTGAAGGGGCAGCCATCGACGCTGAAATTTTCAACTATATGTAATACCTTACATTACTATTTTGTTAATAAAATCTTCATTCGTAGCAAATTTATTTTATAGCACAAATGATTACATTCCTCACCAGATTATAACCATTAACCCTAAAAGTTTATGAAAAAAAAACAGACGTCTTATTGACGTCGGAAATTGGTCAGTAGTGTCAGTTTAAGGTCTAATTTGAAAACACATACTGACGTCTAGAAGACTTTCAAATATGACGTCATTTGGATGTGTCTTACCTACGTCATTCGGACGTCGCATTTGTTAAAATAAAGACGTCTTTTGGCCGAATGTGATGCCGTCAATTAGACGTCATATAGTCGTCATGTGCTACCTGGGACCATTCATTTCATAATCACAGGTTCCACGATATTTGCTTGAAGGGATTGAATCATCGGAACTGTCCTGGATGAAGCATTTGGCGCTGTATGGTATTCTTCTCGCCAATGTATCACCTCGAATTCATACTGCTGTAGCCAGAGCACCAAGCGGAATATCCAGTTTTTCTGAAAATAACCGCTAGAAAGTGTTAATTTCTGCAATTCTCAAACAAAAATGCGACTTCGAATTCACAATTCCTGTATGATCTGAATTATATCTAGATTTTCTCCATCCCAAAACACAAGACCATGACGTTGATGATGTATATTATAGTTGAAAGTTCGGAAACATGTACAGCTGATTTTTGAGAGATAAACTCTCCAAAGCAATTGAATTCACTTGAGAATGCCGCGATAACGAAACATATCAATTCCAATTTCTCTACTCCAGCAGAACCCTACTTTGATGAGTTGTGTAAATCACGGGTAAAGTCGGTCAAAAGTCAATTAGTTGAAATTATCGGCGATCAGATTATCACGAAGAAACTCATATCATCCTCACGCTCATAGATTCTCTGAGGATATCAACGCGTTTCTTCCCGGTGATTTTTTCTTTGTGAACTCCTTTATATCACTTAGTTCTCGATGCGATAACAAAGATCAAAATTTTGATGTAGGTGCCCTCAAACCACCAATTTTTACACCCAATAATCTCAATGAGTATTATTCTGAAATAATGACATCTCACCAATCACCAACTAGACCAAACTATGCCATTATGGAAGCTTATACAGGATCGTATTGGAAAACAACAATCAATACTCCCAACTTCAACACCCTGTATATTGAAAGTGAGAATTCTGGATTTCTTAGTTCAGTGCCCCGATTCTCATTTATCTATTCATAACATATAAATTTACACATTCACTTTGAATTAATCTATCCTGAACATATTTTAACATCTTATATGTATATATTGTTTCCATTAGGTGAATGATCCCGATCTAGCCTTCTAAGAGCATCCTGATATTTCTTCAGCAATGAGCCAAGTTAGACACACGCTGGTAAAGTACTCGATATGTTACCATGATGAACAGTGGTTCTCCTTCAGAAGTGCGTCTACAGGTCAATTACGAAAGCTGAATACATTGCAGCTTTCGATGCATTCCAAGGATTGTTTGGCTAAGAGCATTCTTAGTTAGGTGTTGCTGTTCTAGTACCGACCGAGTTATCCGTCGATAACCAAAGTGTTAAACGGCTCGTTGATGATATCGAATATCATAAAGGAACGGATCATATCAACATCAAGTATCACTATATTTGTGAGCGAACTGAGAATGAATTGATGGATCTATCATATTTGTTACCAGAAGTTTAGCTGGCTGACATCTTTACGAAGCCTTTTTCAAGAGAGAAATTTCTGGAACTCAAAAATATACTCAATTTGGTTTCCAAATGATGAAAAAGAATGAGAATGTTGAATCTATCACTTCGTATACTATTAGAAATCCATCAGGTTATGCTTGTAGTTGTTGGTAACGACCTCAGTGCTTGGCTCAATTATGCTTCACTGACTGAAATGAAGTTGAAAGTGATAGATTTACAGAATCAACGAGATTCTCGCTGTCTTATTATCGAGAAACGAAGGTACCTGAACAGCACCAGCACCCGAGAAAGCGAACAGGTACATCATGGAACTCCATTACCATCAGTGGCTCTCTGAATTCTCACGCGTACATAATATGACAAGAACCGATATCTGCGAGAAGCAATGCTCTTTCCATAGTAATATTTTTGGACACAGGATCAATCTTCTCAAAAAAGGAATGCTCCCATTTTGTTCTCAAATATCCAAATATAATATATATTTCCCAGGTGAAAGATTCCTTCAGGTCGAGTTGAGTTAGATTTAAAAAAAAGTCTTCGTTCTCATGCATACAGGATATTTTTCGAAAAATGAACTTCTCAGTAAGGTTCATCTAGGCGGATTAAGGTAAGATTGTTTGAAGAAGTAGTGTCGTATGTTCTCTTTCCCGAATAACTTTTCAAAAAAATATACTTCCTAGGAAGGAGATTCATTTCGGCCTGAGTAGGTCAGATCATTCAGGAGAATTAGTCGCATTTCTCAAACAGAATGACCATTTCACCTCCTCATATTCAGACTGTGACCGATGGCTTCTTGTGTCGCGTCGTTGCTGACCTAGGACACTGCTTACAAAACCGCCTCGGAATTCCTCGTTCTTTAGCACTGCAGAACGGCAAGGATCCTGAATGAAATCCCCCTGAAAGCCCTTGAAATTGAGATTTTTGGCTTTCCATTCCGGTATTTATCCAGCATCAAACATCATTATGTTATCTCTATGAGTAATGAAAATTTACTGTATCTATCAATGTGCATTTAGTATTTCATTTATTCATGGAACCTAGAAGGAGGATGATTAGTTAGGTAGATCCAGGGCAAATCTCCGGCAGAAGTTATCTCATTCATTTTATATCATTGTTTTCCATGGCATTGAAAATTTCATAATCGAATTCTAACTGTTTTTCACAAATTCCTGTGCCGCGGATTTGCTGTCGCAGATATAATGTCACGGATATAATATCGCGCATATAATGTTGCGGATATTATGTCGCGGACATGATGTCACGGATGTCATATTGCGAATTCAAGGTCTTGCGGATATAACGACGTGAATTCAACGACGCTAATATGAAGGCTGTGAATAATGTGTCGTTCAACCAACAATTGTGTCAATTTCCATCGTAGGTATCATCAGGAGTTATGAGGAATGAATTATAATGGAGAAGGTCATTGATATAGGCATACTTTGAATGATATTCCGATAGTTGATTCAAATCACTTATTTTTTACTATTCACCTTCTCTTGTGTACCTACTTCCACCATCGAAAATATTCGGAAGGTAGTTGAATTCTTGTTTAATTCACATCAATTCTGGAATAATCCAGCAAAAAGTGATCAATGACTACGACAGTACATATTTTTATACCAATAATGAATGTATGGAACGATATTAATATTTGATTATAGGACATATTATATTCTCATATCTCCTGATGATACCCTTGATAAAGATCGACAAAAATTTTTGCTGTATCTGATCTTTCTCGACGTGTAGCTCTGATGTGTATAGGAGAGGTATTTTCTCCACCTGATTCAATTGGTTATTGACAGACTTCCGATTCAATATATCTCGAGGTATGCGGTGACATTTTGAATTCAAAAGTAGAGATGTCTGGAGTTGGGAGGAATGGACATTGCATTCATTTTATGATAGTATTTCACTTTCTCCTCGATATTCGAATCGACCGCAGATCAACATATATGCAATTGAGAAGGATTCAAAGTAGAATTCATATCAATATGATTCAATGTTATAAGAGATCCTTCAAAGCTGATACGAGCTTTCAGAAAGTCTCATATCTATCTCCCGGAATAATCTCCAAAGAATTTTGATTGGACAATTCATGAGACTGACCTTATTACAAACCCAATTTGTTTCTACACGGTAGGAAACACCATTGAGTGTTTGTCGACAAATCAAAAATGAAATATTACTTCTATCAGAGACTCAAATCTTGTCGGAATCCAAAATTGTTTACATGACAACTCCTGAGATATATTGTGTCACAAAAAAAATTCTGGTTGATTTCTGAAATGGCTCGTTTCATTCCGTGAAATGAAATTATGTGATCATTTTTCTTATGGTACTTTTCGGAACATGAATATCTTTTCAGTGCTCGTCTGGAGGAAAAATTTTGAAAACGAGTGAAATATTCACTAAAACCATTTCCATTTGTCTGTCGATTCACATGCTCGACCGTCAGAAGTCAGAGAATGTAGATTAAATTCTTCTCTGCTGAGATATAGTATGTTAGACGTTACCAGACATTGAAAATCATATTGATCACTGAATTGAAATATTCTGAAAATAATATGTTATTCACAAAATGTTTTCTACTTTTTCAGGTATACCAACAAACTTGCTATATCCCCATCACCGTCAGAGTTCATCACCAACAACAGCAACTGCGATTGCTTCAGCCACCGTCACTATACAAAATGGAAATATGCCAATAGCTCACTTTCCAGATCAATTCAATAGTAATAATCAAACAGAATATCGAGCACAAAATCGACAAAAACACTATCAGATGTCTCAGATCTATACTGGCCACATGTATAGTCAAAATCATCCGGCAGTCAATAGTGCTCAAGACTATCATGGGAGTCACCCAAACAATATGGGGCACCATAATCCCACCCGATTTCCAGGTAAAGGAAGACAATCAAACTACTCTGCCCATGCAAACCAGTATTTCTATAAACATTCTGGATGTGATGATTACACTATTGGGTCAAATATTTATGGTCAAGTTCATCATGCAGGTGAAAACGGATATCATCATTACGGTTACAGTGGAAATAATGTGTATCCGAATGATGGAAACGAGACGATGGCACAGATGCCAAACTCTGTCTGTCACAACCAGGATCTGACCTCTGATTATTATGATAGTGAGAATATGATTCCAGTATCGACGAGACTTCAGAATCAACCCGAGTATCCGAACAGAGTTGGCTATTACGACAGTACCTACAGTTCTAGTAATGTTACCCAGAATGCAGATACTACATATGTGTCAACCGAAATATTTCCAGGAGATAATAGCACCTCTATAATGACACCTCCTGCTAGTTGTGCTACTGAGGGCAGCGAGAATCACAACTTCCATCAGTTTTACCCTGGAGAAACTCAAACTCAAGTAGCTGTTCCTGCTGAAAGTAGTAATAGTTCGTCGGACTTCAATTTCCTGAGCAGTTTGGCTAATGATTATACTCCAGAATATTATCAAATTTGATTCAGTTTGATTGATATATTTGTTGATATTGTCCCTCCATCATGGGGTACCTATGTGATTTAGTCGATTATCGTTATTAATTTGTTTCCATGTGTATTCACTGTATATTTCGAAATTCATGTTATTTCTTCAAATAGTTGATCAAGAACTGACAATCCCAGAGAAATTATTTTGTTTTTGGCTATAAAATGGCTTAGGAACTACATATGAGTTCACGATCGATTTAGTAGTTCATTCCTCGGAATAATGTACAAACAATTTAATATTGCAAAGAGAGAAATCGATATGTAATTATCGGAGAACTAGGTTGTTGTTGAATGTATATAATACAATTCATGTATTTACTTGAAAATGTACTTAAACCGTAGATCACATTCATCGATTGAATTCTCGGAATCCATGAATATAGAAGATTTTAATATAAATCAGTAAACTAGCTTTGTATACCTGTTTAAGTTATCACGCGAATTGGTTGAATTCAATTTCATTAACTAACACTCTTTCTGGCTAACCCTCCTTGTTTTCTCGTGACATGTTACTGTTGAGAATATTTTGTTAATAAAAGTTTGTTTGCCATTTTAAGGAAATATTCAAGAGATTAAATTCTAGTAATGGATTCTTGGTTCCAAATCTATCTAATAGCACTAGTGCACCAGGTGTTATTCATAGTTACATCACTCTTTCCTTTCAGATCAGCAGAAATTCCGTGAAACCCTTCCGAAACATGCAGAATCTTTTTTCATCCTCTACCGAATACGATCAGCAATTCTGCTAGAACTCGTAATAAGTAGCAGCGATGTTATTTTCCCTGCAGAGTTGTTTGCAAGGGACAAGATTGAACTTCCGAATTATATATATCAATTTCATGACAAAAATCATTTTCATTTGTGTGATTTCACACGCTATCATACCTTTCCTGTTAGAAGGTGGATTTGAGAACTATATATAGTTCCATTCAACTTTTTCCATTGATGTGACAGATTTTATTATATTTCTTCGTCGAAAAATTCAATAACGTATGCCTTCAAGAATTGTCAAGTAGGTTTTGTTTTGAGAAAATTGATTCTCGATTCAGATAATGAATGAATTAAATTTTTTTTTGTTATTGACAACGAAAGTCGATTCATTCAATATAACGATGAATCATAAATTTGACTTGGGACAAAACATTAATTTGGATTGGTATATTTCATAATGAGATGATTATGAGCTCAGATATCACATGATAGAACCATATTGTATTCCATGTCGCATAGCTAAGGAATACTTATCGCCTACAGAAAATGGCACAGTGTTTTCATTCGGCAACTTTTCCTTGGAAACGAACAATTGCAAATAGTTTCATTCTCTCTGAAAAGTGGCGAAACTTTGAGGTTGTGGCAATCCGTTCACAATTGGCAAGGTGATCGGCCATTGGGGCCCCTCTTTCAATAGAACATGGCGGTGAAATGTGTTGAGATTTGCATACATTCTATTCTAGCAATTTAATCCTATGTGATCATTCTGGAACTCATCACGAAAATCATATTTATAATTGTTGGATGTATGTAATAGGAAAATCATACTTAGGAGTGTCTGGGAAGTTCATGTCGTGAATGGTATGGCTGATAAAGTGAGCCAGGATGATGTTGGTACCTTATGTAAAGGAAATGTTCATCGCGCTCCGTTGAAGAGTTATTGACTTGATAGTCAGACAATGAAAATCGATTACATGTTTATCTTCCGAACGGCTGCCATGGTATGATTCATTTCTAGGCAGGTTAAGAGACTCATACCGATGCTACTTTCCATACGTGAACGGCTCTTCAATGAATTTGTCTCATAGAGGATTGAACGAATATTTTCTCCATTCAATAAAGACATTTTTGAGACAGGTGCAAATTTGAAATTCTGCTACTACCGTTTGATATATTTTTTCTTCTTCTATAAAAATGGTATACCTCATCTCAATCAATATTTTGTACCGATCTAGAGGAAATCGCATTTTAAGATATACATCCCAACCATAGGATCAATTGGCACATGCTCAATTATGAACCTTGTATCATCAATGGAACTCTGAATGTTCATAAATAGGTATACAACTTCCTGCAAGATCATCCAGATGCGTTGCAAGAAGAGATTCTTCCGAATTTCTACGTGAGATGTAGTTGATGCACGATGGTGCGCCTACTCAGCTCGTCAAAATTGAGAATACCATGTCTTTATAGCCCTTTTTCATGACCACCTCTGTCACCTTATCTTGGTCTATTTGATTTTGCTCAGGACTACCTTGAATGTTCAGTCTATACAACACCTGTGAAAATTAGATATGAGGTTTTTGAAACTATTTCTCACATTTGCACATGTCGTAAGAAATTATCATCACGTGTTATCCAAGTACAACGCAGATGTATAGACAAATTGAGAGGTTCAAGATGCATATATTGTGATCCATTTTCGATAATCTATCATTCTCTACTGATGTTATTGAATAGATGGAGCACTCGTCACCATTGAAACGGTGTGAAAGTATGATTTTGTCAAGAACAGTACAAGATGTCGATCGAAATAGGGTATCGATTATTCATATGAAGAAGATGAAGAAATCGAACAGCGAAAGCAAAATTTGGAATTTGTCATCTGTGTCGAAACTTCTTTTTTCAGACAAAAAAAAAATTGTGTCATCCTGTATAAAACATATCAACTAAAGAGCCGTGTATGTATAGAATAAATCATTTTAATGATTTCATCTACCCTCTGAAATGTTATCGATATCATGGCAATCGTTTGAGAGTTTGCAATTGCATCAATGAAGAATGAGATGATGATTGGAGTAGTTCTGGAATAAAAATATGGATTCCAAAAACCTACAGAAAATTCATCACAAGAATAGATCATCAAAATAATGAGCGTTATGGTAATACAATTGAATGAAAATAAACAAGCAGGAATATTTTCAATACATATTTCCAATGTCAGTGGGAACCAATAAATGATGATCGATGTTTCCTCAAGTTCAAGGATTAAATAGATACGAAAAAACTTCATTATATCCTGCGAACTCTTGAAGTCTTGAATCTGGGCAAGAATCTTGGCCAGAATCTGAGTTTCGATTACTGATTTTGTATATTTTCACACTCAATTGCAAGAAACCCTGAATGGCAACTTCTCGCCTGCTGAAGAATGAGGTTATCTGAGTGAGTACACTAGAGGGGCTATGTATGTACCAGCCAAAGCCAATCAGAGACCAGCATTTGGTTGGAGGCCACGCCCACCAAAAACCGGCCCGAAATTCAAATTATTCATACGTCGTCACGTCGCCATCGTGAATAAATAAATTAAAAAAAGCTGTCACCGCTGAGGAATTGAACCAGGGACCTTTGCATTACGAGGCAGCGTATATTTGTCACTGTGGTATTCCGACCTTCGTAATATTTCGATTATTTCAATGCTATTTAAACGGGATATCCATCGCTGGCGCGCGCTTATCTCTGAATCGGATCTGTAGAGGTAGAGCGAAGCGAGAGATGCATTCCAGAGATAAGAAACTTCGAGTCAAAAATAATATCCATCGCTGGCGCGCGCTTATCTCTGCAACAGATCTGTAGAGGTGAAGCAAAGCGAGAGATGCGTTTCAGAGATGAGAAACTTCGAGTCAAAAATAATATCCATCGCTAGCGCGCGCTTATCTCTGCAACGGATCTGTAGAGGTGAAGCAAAGCGAGAGATCCGTTCTAGAGATGAGAACGTATTACATCTAAATAAATTCATGGTGACATATTTCTATGCTAGGTTTATCGACAATATACACACAACACCAAATGAAGCTTCCGCTGATAAGAGTCGTGTGCAGCGATAACCGTCACATTGTTGCCAGACGTTGCAAATTATTATTTATGAAGTCGATAACGTGTTGTCAGATGTTCAAAAAATATCTGATGCCACGTAATACATGACATATGACGTATGACAGATGGTGTTTGCAATATGATGTATGTGGGGAGTGGAAGGATACGAAAACAAGGATATATCATAATGATTTATTTTATTTTAGTAATCCTTTCCTACAAAAGTGACATGCCTCTTGAGAAGATGGTGGTCCATCCCAGTGTGTGGTCCAATCGGGACGATTATAATGAGCGAAGCATTGCAGTTTGATTTGTAGGTTGAAGTTGCTGCGATATTCTTGAGGAAGTTTGTGCCATACCCTTGATAGCCCATAAGGATCTGCATATTCAATGAGACATTCGACTGGAATGTACTGCAATTCTTGTTCAGTGAATTTTGTCAGAGTCAAAGCGGGAGATTTTATAAATTCCAAGAGCACAGCTATTTCAGACTTCATGATTTTTCGAGCAGAGCCGAAATATTTCAGATGCTACTAGTCTCGCGTCAAGTTGTATACTGATGAAATAACTAGTCTCATTTTTCACAACATATTATTCAAATCAGACATAACCTCCTTTTTACAATAATAAGAATATTCTCTGAGAGCATTACTAGACATTCAATTTGAAACATCACAAAATCCAGATATAAGCTCTTTCGCACCCAAATCAGTCAGGCTATTTCTAATCCAATCAGCTATAGTATTCAAAATGTTCTGATAATACATAAAAAAGTCCAATTTGTTTATTAGCGCAACTCGATGTGAAACAACACACGTTTCAGCCCTCAAAATGTCTGCAAAATCCTCTTCCACCAATTCGAATGTAATGTGGTATTTGGTGAGTGACAACATTTTGACACCATCGCAAACGAATTTGGTCATGGTGATATAGTCTCCGCAGGTGGTAACGGCAGGATCAGATTCATCAATGGAACAGGGCAGGGGTGCTTCAAAAAAGTCTTGTTGCACCTCATACAGCGAATCGATGAAGGTGGCCCATTCATATGTGGAGAACGAAATTTTCGCTGGATGAAAGGGTTTCTTCAGGATGATGCTCGGACTAAACTGTCTAGCTGGACTGAGTCCACACTGAATCATGTAGGTGGACAACTGGAACGATGAAGTCAGCAAGTGGTACGATTCAGCTTTCGCTGCTTGCTCAACCATCTCCAAATACGTATCAACAGAGTCGATACTCATTGCTATCAAACTAATGTGTTGGATCGGGTCGGTCCTCACTATTTATACCATCACTGCCGACTCGTCACAACATCCGGTAATGGTTGTTATTTGTCAGCGATCGACGTGAAAGGCCCCTCGCATCCATTAAATTCGTGATAGTTTTCCATATGATTTCATTATAACTTGTTGGTGGAATCATTCCAGCTGTTGTGTGTATCATCAAATCCCAGCCATTTGACTAACACCTTTCTACCCCTCTTCCTTAAAACTTCTTCCACTAGGTAAACATCGGAATTTTCAGTTTTTTGCAATTCTTCAGGATGAAAGGCACCTTTGATTGGTGTACCACGCAAATCTTTCAAGATGTATGTGGTAGGTTTCGTGATACGAACTTTTACGATTTTAAATAGTTCAGTAGTCCAATTTGGTGTATAATTCTTTTCGAAAACATGATTGGCTTTGCTTATGCTCACA